TTTTACAGACGAATAAAATGATGATTACCGGGATGTAATAGTCTGAAATTAGTTATTCTATTGATTTATTTTTTGTTCTTCATCTGACGATGGAGATAAATGAAGTTGTTGTAAAATTTTAACAACTTTAGCCCAATTTGCTTCAGCAAGATGACTTGTATGTTTGTCAATAATACATAATTTTTCACATTTATTCGATCTGTTTTGACAATATTCAAGTGAGCCAGTTACAGCATTACTCATTTGTGTCAAAAGACAAGCAGCAAAATTTTGTTGACATTTAGCAAAACAATAACCTACGTATAAATATTCATATATATTTATATTCACGAAAAAATATTTTACCACAAATTTTAGCTTCAAGCGACGGATTTTCATTTGTAAATTCAATGTCACAATCTTTGTGCGTTTCGTCATTACGTCGGCTCCACCAAACTAAATAGTACAGAAATCACCCAAATATTTCATTAGATTTTCATACAATAATAACTTACTGTTACTTCGAACGGAAAGGCATTGTGTTAATTGAATAAGTGATAGTAATAAAATAAGTTGTTTTAACATCTTGTTGAAAAGTTAATAAATAAAAATAGATGATACAAATATTTGGATCGTCTAGAATTTATAAAACAAAAATAAAGTCTTTTTTACTATTATAGTTGAAAATATAACAAAACAGTATCATTTATGATATGAAAAATCGACAAATGACAAAATATTTCTGTTTATAAGCAGTAAGTGAACGAGAGAGAGAAAGAAAAGAATATGAGATTTCTTTTTCTTAGCTATAACAAAAGAAAAAGGGAGGAATAGAAAGATTTTTGTGTTGAATAGTTGCTATCAACTAATTCATTGAAGCAAATAAAAGCTTTTATATTGGATTTAAATATTTATTTGCACACCTTTAATACCATTCATTACAAAGAAAAACAAATAGGCGTTTTTAATTAAAATTATATTCCGATTCAATTAGAAAAGAAAATTATAACAATAGTAATAATACTCATATTTCATCTAATCTTCTTATAAAACACACCCACATCGATTCAAAATATATCTATAACAACTCAAGCCAATTAAAAGAACAACGTAGAAAATAACAATGATCTCATGTGTATTATATTCTGAAATCGTCAAAAACTTTTTAATAATCAACAAGCGTTGTTATTCACATAAAAGCATAACAAAAAGTTATTCCTCAGTTCTATATTTTCTAAGTATCTTTAATTACGTGACTTTCACATTCATGCTCATACCCTTGATTTGATAAGTATACAATCTTTTGAAGTTATTAGATAAAATCTTATCAGCAGTTATTCGGATTTTTACATCCTTGAGGGCAGAAATAATTATTATATAAAATTGAATAGAACTCGATAGTCATATATTTTTTGTTTGTGTAGAAAAATAGATCTAACTAAAAATAAAAGATATGAAATTTTCCTTTTACTCTCAACGGACGTAAATATTAATATTGTTGGTTAGAATTCTCATGGAACATACCTAAAATTACGAAAACATATATTTCTTTTATCTACGATCGGCCTTGTTTTCACTTCATAAGATAATATCAAAGGGAATTACTACGATCATAATTATATAATCATGTATCAGAATACTCCGAATTATAAACAATTTGTACCGACAAACAATTTAATCATCCATAAAAATGTTACCAATGTATTCATTTACTCATATTTTATTATTTATAACTCATAACAATTTTTAAGTACAATCTTAATTTTGATAGAACATGTACTGTCTATGATCATATATAGTATTAATAAATTTTCAACAGACATTTATACTGTATTCTCGGAGGACTGACTATGAAAGTTTTATAATGAAATGTCTGCGGTATTTTCAATAACAAGTTTCTATACTGTTTGTTTGATAGATATTAATAACTCAAGATTATTTGTATTTTCAGAAGTTCTTGTATCAATCATATTGCTACATAGATTTTCTAAATCATCAGTCATTTTATGTAGATTATTCCACATATAACTATTTAAAACATCTTTGAATGAATAAATTTCATTGATTTTTTTGAATTCATCATAAAATTCTTTTAAAACTATTAATCTTTCAGACATTTCATGATCACGTTGTTTTAATAATTCTACAATTTGTTTATATTCATGTAATAATTTATCATATTGTTCTTGTTCCATTTGAACGCACTTAATTAATTCTTCTGAAAGGTTTATTGAAGAAGAAAAATGATTAGGAAATACGAATGACGGTGTTATAAACCAATCATCTGCCATAAATATTTTGTAAGTTTTAAAATCAAAACGATAGTGAGATAATTAATGGCGCTAATTATATTATTTTTCTGTGAATCATGCAGTTAGATTTTCGCGAAATTCAAATAAAGGGATACCTACTGTAATGAATACTTGTGTGGGTGTATGTCTTGACTTCAAAGACTTTCCTTTTCTTTTAAAAATACGAACTTGATCTAGGTCGTTATATTATTTATTGAAAAGTCAAATATCTAAAAATATATGTCCTTTGAAGAAGTTCAAAAGATTTTATTCTATAAATAATAATAATAACCATTCAAAAATGTAGTTTAACTTTCAATTCTTTGAAATATACTGAGACGATCATTCTTTGTAGGCTATCTATATCTATAGTAAAGAGAAGCCTGTAACAACGAATAGGATATTATATTGCATTTCATCTTGATTCTTCCTACAGGATGCAAAAAAAGTGGAGAGATCTCATGTTGGATTAATAAATCGATAAGAGAACCAAATCAATCAATAGTCTATTTGAAAAATCTTTCTTTATTGGTACCATTTATCATCCAATCCCAATACCAAACGTAATAATCATGAGATTTGAGTAGATGACATTTGAAGAAGAAAAAAAAACATTTGCTATTTTGATTAATAACAATACAATCCTATTCTATTCTGATTATCTTCTATAAAAAAAATCATTCTCAGTGTGATGAATACCTATGTTGTACGAAATGAGTTACAATTAACCTACATATGACTATTTGCATGTATTTGTTATCGCGATGTCTCGTAATAAATTAAATATTTGTTCTACTGTTATCATTCTGTTTTTATAGATATATATACAACAACCAACAATGTGTTTTAACTACTATACATAATGACAGAAAATAAAAGACTCGCTGCTGAAGACTTGAGTAATGTATGGAAAGATAATAATAATAAGCTTACATCAGGATTAAAATTGGATCTTGTTCAACATTTATTACAGCAACGTCAATCACAAGAATGGGTTGATGCTAAACAACGTGTCATTAAAATAATGAAACTTGATCAATTTGATAATTCACAAGAAATTAAAATACTTGATATTGGATGTGGTTTAGGTATTGATTTAATGTTAGTAGGTGAAGAAGCGACTCGTTTAGGTAAAACAGTTTCGATTATTGGTTTAGAACAAAATTCTACATTGATTGAAGAAGCAAAAAATTTATATGAAAATCAAAAAGATCATTTATCATCGAGTGTATCTATTCAAATTGTACGTGGTGATATTCTTCAAATGGAATTTAATGATGAAACTTTTGATATTGTTCGTTCTGATATAACACTTCAACATGTTGATCTTCCAAAAGCTTTGACTGAAATAAAACGAGTATTAAAAGTGAATGGTCGATTAATAGCTTTAGAAGGTAGTGCTTCTAATATTTTTAGTCCTGATGAAATTATGATTAAAATATATGATACTGTTTTACCAAATCGAAGGGATGGTGGAACTGCTATTCGTTTACAATTTTTATTGCCAAAAATGAATTTTGAACTAAAAGGTTCGAATCCAACAGCATTTCTACAATCAGGACAATTTTTAGCAAGTCAAGATAAAGATTGGATTAAAATGCGAGGAGTATCAGAAATGTTAATTACAAAAGGTGTTTTAACTGAAGAAGAAAGTAAAGATTTTCTAAAACGTTATATCGAAGCTTGTGAAACTAATCAAATATTATCAACTGCAATTTTATTTATTATTGAAGCAGCTAAATGCAAATAATTTTTAATTTTAATATTGATTAAGAAACGACCTTTTTTTACTAATATTTTATTTGAAATAAAATTATAAATAAGATTATTATGTCAAGTAAATCAGGACTTCTAAGTAACCTTTTAATGATTATATGTACTATGAGTTTATATGAACTGTCGTATAACGTGTGTCCAGAAAGTCTTTGCACAAAATCATACTGAAAATTGGGTGCAAGCCAGCTACCACTATTCAGTTATTTATACGTTAGTTGATAGAGCATCAAAAGATGTTTCTGTATTTGTATGACTGATGTTGATACGATTTTCTTTTGAAAAATGACAAGATCATACAGAGAATGTCTTCAAAAATGCACTGTACGGGGTGGTCTGTGAGTCGCGTACCTTCGAAAAAAAATTGAATATTTCTATTATAGCTCAACCAAACGAACTCATATTTTTATTAAGGTTAAAGACATGTCCACACTTCAAATCCATACGGACAAGGTTACTGAGAACCTGTGCCAAGTATCATTATTGATCAAAACAAGAAAATTTTGAGGGTGTGGGTGGGTGTGGGTGTGGCTGTGGCTGTGGCTGTGGGTGGGTGTGATTGTGGGTGTAACATAGTCTTGTATTCACCCACACC